CCAACTTAGCGATTTCGAAAACGGGGGCCCCGCATTGATGGATCACCTTTCCTTCCAGTTTTTTTTTCCCAACGGCCCGGCCGAGACACAGGTGGGGTCTCTTCCAGAGGTGGTTACATGTTGTCTCACTATCCATGATGTCCCATCAACTATTATTACTTGGTGGCACATCCTACCCACGAATCCTAAGAAATGGCTAGTTCACCCTAGTTACAAGTGGATTAACCCTACTCCGACTAACAAACTCAGGGTTTTTGTACCCACTTCGGATTCGTTTTTCTAGTTCGTCACCAAATAACCTCTGGTAACTTAAGAGTTTCTTGTGATGACCCATTTAGTTCGATCATTGACCTACGAAACAACACATACCCTTTGGTAATTTGTCACATAGCTATTGAAAATACCCCATTTAGTTCGTTGATTTACCTATTCAAAATGGTGATGTTCTATAGCTATGTAAACGTTTACCAGAGGGTATGATCATTTACCAAACGGCATCACCCATGTAATCCATCTATTGAATATTTATCAACATTTGCCACGAAATAATCTCCCAACTGTAGGTAAATATACGATCCAATTTTGCATCTGGCATATGCCTATATTCTATACTGGCTAATAATTCATAATGGTTAAGAATGATTAAGAATGGATAGTTCGATAATAATGGGATTTATATAGGGGGGGTTCTTGAAATGGGGGGATCCCCAAGTCAGCATGTTTGTTTCAATACCAAAATGGTCACCGATGACTCGGATGAGTTGGGGTTACCCCCATTTTCGGGAACCAACCATATTTGATCAATAATATTATGGAATAATTGTTCATATTTGATATATTATAATATTATATTAAGGATATTTGGTATATTATATTATTCCACATTTGATCATTATATTATTCCATATTTGATCATATCCTTTGGTGATTAATGGAATAATATACCCTGCGGGTAATGAATGGGATATACTTTATGGGAAAGTGAACGATAATGGTGATTTAGTGGCATATAATATTCTCGCCATATGGGGGTTTCCATCAATGGTGGTACCCCAACAGCTGGATGGTTCATAATGGTTCATAATGGTTCATAATGGAACATCTGCGTAACGTGGATGATTTTTCGGGCTACCCTCATTTTAGGAAACCTCCAATATCTGGTCGGTGGCTTCAACCCATCTTGAAAAATATGAAAGTCAATGGGAAGGATTATCCCAGATATTATGGAAACAAAATGTTTGAAACCACCAACCAGTCCAATATGGTTGCTGGTTGGTGGTTTCAACCCTCTGAAAAAATATGAGTTCGTCAGTTGGGATGATGACATTCCCAATATATGGACAGTCATAAAATTCCATGGTTCCAAACCACCAACCAGAACATGGCTGATTAAGCATATAGAAGGATTATCCCATATGTTATGGAAAATAAAATTCATGTTTGAAACCACCAACCCGCTTTATAGTAAACCAACTATTGATGTTACCTATTGATGTTACCAACTAATAGTGATGATTTAACAATCAGCATGAAGAGTTGCCATATATTGATATAAAAGTCCATGGCTCCAAACCACCACAAAGCCATATTAGTGATGGTTAAAAGTGGTAAATGATGATTAATAGGGGTTAATGATGATTAAAAAATGAGTTCGTCAATGGGAAGGATGACATTCCAAACCACCGTCCCCAGCTATAGTTATAGTATCTTATAGCTATCCCACATTTGTAGAGGATTTTCATTTTAGGAAACCTCCAATATGGATATAAAAGTCCATGGTTCCAAACCACCAGAAAGCCATATTAGTGATGATTAAAAGTGGTTAATGATGATTAATAGGGGTTAATGAATAACATAGCTATAGAAGCCATGGCCCGTAGAATTCGTGAATTTACCTATGAAATTTGGGGATGGTTTACCAGACTGAAAACATCCAACGGTCGCACCTCTTCACTGAGTCCCTCTGGCATGCTCACGCTTCGCCCTGCCAATCTGACCCGGCCTGGTTAGGTATTCTGACAATAGAAGGTTATAAAGATACCTTAGGGTAAACCAACATAGATTTGAACATGTACCCTCTGGGAAACGTTTACGTAACGAACTGGAAAGATCCACCATTTTGAATGGGTAAATCCACTATTGCAATGGCCAGCTTGAATAGCAAACTGTTAGTTTACCAGGCCGGGTAGATACCCTGCAAACAACGACAAATTCTCAGCTGGTGAACGTAGATATTGCTATAGCAAAAGATTAATTAAAGGATTAGTCCCTACCCATCCAAGGTTGACCTAGTCATGATGGCCCTAGCTGTTTATAAATGGTCAACGATTACAATTTGGTCATGGTTAACACTGAATATTCATGGTGGAAAGATGGTGATGAATGGTGATTCATAGTCATTAGTGGTTATGAATGGAATTCTCCTTGGGGAATCAGCTGCCAGGCTAGCTGGGACATTTCCGAAGTCCATGGAGCTTCTGCCATGGCTGGCCATATTTGATGACTGGAAGGTAGGCATATTCAAACAGACATATTACAAGGTGGACCCGAAAACTGATTTGGTGGTGCGGTGAGCTCGGGCTTCTGATAGATATTTCTCTAGTTATTAGGGGTTTTAAAGCATCTTCTGGGGGTGCCATTCTAAATCACCAGAGTGGGCTGTTTTCAGCAACATGTTGAAAGTCAAGATTATCCGCTGAGACGTTGGCTGATGTGCTCCGACTGATAAATTTGGTTGAACATTAAAGATGGTTAATGGTTTATGTATTTTGATTTATCTACTGGGAAAAATCAAATGACTTGAGAGCTTTAACCACCAATTACTTGGGGTAGCGTTTATCCAAGTTTCTGATGGACCCTATTGTAAACTCATATCTCATCATGTCTAGATGATTTTCCTATGCTTTTCCATGTTTTTTCCAGATCTAGTTTAGTTTACAGTATGGTATTCCATAAAATCCCATATAATCCGTATAGATTCCTATGAAATCCCAGTGAAATACCCATCAAATCCTACATACCTATTACATCCCATTTAATTCCGTAGAAGATTTAAATTCTAAGTTTAATGGATCCCAATTCGAATAATGGGATCTAACTAAACCATTTTTAGAGTATCAATGTTTATAACATTCCAATGGATTAAGAGTTATTAATGAATCCCATCAAACTATTAAACATGAAAGCACCAACTTGGTATCACCGCCATGTGGCGATACCAACTTTGACAGTCCGCGAGTCGATTCGGCCTTGAACACATTCACCCGGCCAGCGGAAGGCTGCGGCAAAGTAGTGGCCGTCCTCGCCCAAAAAATCAAATGTACAGGGTGCAGGATGGTGCCAAACGTGATGTGTTGGTGAACATAAACCATAGTTATAAGATAATGGAGGTTATAAAACCATAGTTTATGTTCACCAACATTCTATAAGATCATAACTATAGTTTATAAGTATAATAAACCATAGTTGGTGAACATAAAGCCCATTACCCTCTGGTAAACTAACAGTTTGCGAACTGGAAAATGGCCATAGAAATAGTGGATTTACCATAAAACATGGTGGATCTTTCCATAGTTTTTTGTATGTTTACCAGAGGGTAACTATAGTTATAAGCATAACAAACCATAGATATTGGAGTTATAAACCGTAGTTTAACTATAGTTATGCTTGTTGGTTTATGAACCCCCATTGACTAGTTCGTTATATATACCATAAACCCTAGTGAAGCCACAGTCATATCTCAATTTCACTATCTTGGGGGCCCCATCCTGTGATATCTCATGGGAATATACGGATGATATCTAATGGGAATATTTTTTTGGGGAATGCGGGAATATGATTGGGATATGATGATATCTGATATATCTGATAAATATGATATATCATATATATATATAGTCAAAGGAGGCGAAGGGAAAAAAAGAAACATTGTGGCAATATTGTATCCAGAGCGAACAAGGACAGAAAATCAGTCCACAGCGCCACCGCAAATCCATTGAGCACATCTCAAGCCCACCAGAGCAGTAGTATCAGACAGGTGGGACGGTGGGACATAGACCGCGAAGCATGCAGAAGCCAATGTCATCCGAAGCGTCGAACAAACTGTAAGTGCAATACCTGGATGCGGTTGAACTTCAAATAGTCCTGCCTCAACGTGAAGACCTTGACTTTCTTTCCCGGCGCCGAATTTCTTTTCGATGCTATGACACAAAAAGTGCGCAATCTGATGATTGAACAACAATGTCATCATTATCAGATTTTGGCCCTAAACCATTGCTTAATTTTCAAAGGGTGGGCCCCATGAACTAGTTCGTTATATATACCATAAACCATACTCATCCTAGTTTAGTTGTAACAACTTAGCTAGCTATCTAGGGTGGGCCATCTTGTTATACATGAACAAATATGTATACTTGGTGGCTCATCCCACTTACTAAGTAGGTTATAACCCTAGTTAAAGGTGGATTAAGCCTACTTATCTCACTCATAACAAGGGATATAACCTACTTAAAAAAGTGAGATGAGTCACCAGGGATATAACCTACTTACTAAGTGAGATGAGTCACCAGGGATATAACCGACTTAAAAAAGTGAGATGAGTCACCAGGGATATAACCGACTTAAAAAAGTGAGATGAGTCACCAGGGATATAACCTACTTAATAAGTGAGACGAGTCACCAAGGATATAGCCTACTTAAAAAAGTGAGATGAGTCACCAGGGATATAACCTACTTAAAAAAGTGAGATGAGTCACCAGGGACATAACCTACTTAAAAAAGTGAGATGAGTCACCAGGGATACAACCTACTTACTAAGTGAGATGAGTCACCAGGGATATAACCTACTTAAAAAAGTGACATGAGTCACCAGGGATATAACCGACTTAAAAAAGTGAGATGAGTCACCAGGGATATAACCTATTTCGAAAAGTGAAATGGGTCACCAGGGCTATAACCTACTTAAAAAAGTGAGATGAGTCACCAGGGATATAACCTACTTTAAAAAGTGAGATGAGTCACCAGGGATATAACCTACTTACTAAGTGAGATGAGTCACCAGGGATATAACCTACTTACTAAGTGAGATGAGTCACCAGGGATATAACCTACTTAATTAAAGGACCGGATAACCCCACATGTTACCAACTTCTTTAGACTTAGACTGACCATAGAAGAGCAAGAAGGGAAGAGGAAGTATAAGAGTGATGGAGCGGTGATGGTGGGTGAGTTTGTGTGTATGTATGTATGTTCATGTACAGTGAGTGAGTGAGAGTGTGAGTGAGTGATGCGAGTGTGGTGTGTGTGAGTGAGGGATGTGAGAGTGAGTGAAGTGAGTGAAGTGAGTGAAGTGAAGTGAAGTGAAGTGAAGTGAAGTGAAGTGAAGTGAAGTGAAGTGAAGTGAAGTGAGTGAGTGGGTGAATGAGTGAGTGCGGTAGGTGAGGTAGGTGAGGTAGGTGGTGAGGTAGGTGAGGTAGGTGAGGTAGGTAAGGTAGGTGAGGTAGGTGAGGTAGGTGAGTTAGGTGAGGTAGGTGAGTGAGTGAGTGAGTGAATGTGAGTGAATGTGAGTGAGTGTGAGTGAGTGTGAGTGAGTGTGAGTGAATGTGAGTGAGTGTGAGTGAGTGTGAGTGAGTGTGAGTGAGTGTGAAGCCTCCCATTAACGTCCCCACCACCGGCCAACGTGGTGTCGGCTCGACCGAAGCCGAACCGTTTGGTAAGGACGAAGGCATCGACCTCAGTGAAGAAACAGACTTAGACGGAGCACGGAAAGCGAGAAGGGAAGAGGAAGGATAAGAGTGATGGAGGGACGATGGTGGTATGTATGTAGGTAGGTAGGTAGGTAGGTTAGGTAGGTAGGTAGGTATGTATTTAGGTATCTATGTATGTATGTACGTAGGGTAAGTTGTTTGTGAGTAAGTTGCTTCGCTTTCATCGAGTTCCACCAGGCTCTGATGTTTTTTCCGACACACTATCAAAACGATGGTGTGCTCACCATACTTCCGCTGACCAAAGTAATGTTCTGCACTCTTTCGAGCGCAGCCGCACATTTTGTGATCTCTTTCTGCATGCCCTGTGGCTGGTAAACATCGCTGGCACATGATGATGATGATGATGATGATGGTGATGATGATGATGATGTATGTGAGTGAGTGAGGGAGGGAGTGAGTGAAGTGAAATGAAGTGAAGTGAAGTGAGTGAGCGGGTGAGTGAGGGAGGGAGGGAGGGAGGGAGGGAGTGAGGAGTGAGTGAGTGATTGAGTGTGTGTGTGTGGGTGAGTGGGTGAGTGGGTGAGTGGGTGAGTGGGTGAGTGGGTGAGTGGGTGAGTGGGTGAGTGAGTGAGTGAGTGAGAGTGAGTGAGTGAGTGAGTGAGTGAGTGAGTGAGTGAGGGTTGTATGTTATGCATTGTGTGTTGTGTTTTGTGGGTTGTGTGTTGTTGTGTGTTGTGTGTTATGTGTTGTGTGTTATGTGTTGTGGGAAAGGCGCGGTGTGTCGTTGGGAAGGAAGGTTGTCGTTGATGTGCACGGCCTCCCATTAACGTCCCCACCACCGGCCAACGTGGTGTCGGCTCGACCGAAGCCGAACCGTTTGGTAAGGACGAAGGCATCAACCTCAGTGAAGAAACAGGACTGAAGATGAACCTGTTCTTTTCCTTCCATCGGAAATGCCCGGAACTGAACCTACCGGAATCAGAAAGCATCTTCAATAGTGATTTAAATGACGTACAGACCTCACGGTGACCCCGGCTTCCAAGTCCGTTGAAAGCAAAATTCAAAAAAAAAACTCATCATCAAAACTCCCGGAACTGGAGCTGCAGCCCAGAGGCAAGAGCCTGCCTTGGAGTAGTTGCTCACGGAGGTGCTGAGTCAGGCGACGAACCGACCTGCCCCCCGCCAAGGTGGGGGAACCATCCTAGCCGCTAGCCCCTGAGAATATTATAATAGGAACGGGCAATAGTTACATATATAATATATATGTTTGAACAGTGTAAGCAAATCGCTAAGGCTGTCAAATCGAAATATTCCATAGCTGTGAGACAATGATTCGACGATATGCACCGCATCACAATACGTGACCAAGTGTGTAATGTCATGGCGAGCCTAACTAAAACTTTTGTCAGTCCCGAGATTGTCCTGCAACAGCTTGACGCGATCACTGCTTGCAGCAGCTGAACCAAAGCGCGCACGGGGACAACCTGGTCGTCCGTCGCGTTTTGGACGGAGGTGGATACCCTCGCAGACAGATAGCCAGTCACACGTCTCGTGCGTGTACATGTTGAGTTTGTCTGCTGATAGGTGGGAACCACATGACACCATTGCCAGCCACTGTAACGCGTCCATCTGTTTCGCCTAGGCAGTGGCGAGGTGTTTCTCCTGGCTTCAAAACAGCAAGGTAGCTGTTGTTCTCCTTGCTCACCCTTTTCTTCACACATCTGTGATGACCTTGGTGATCGCCGTGATGTTCTTCTCCAGCAAATAGCTAGTTACTTGCTTCTTCAAAATGATCTCGTCAACCATCAATTTGAGGCCACTCGATCAATCCTAAAAAAGGTCAATGGACCTTCTCAAAGGGGATCACTTTGAAGAAGCAACAGAAAATAGTTTTTGCTTTTCTTTTACTTAGAAAAGTCCGTCCGTCCAGAGAGAGGCCTATCTGCCCACAACAAGAGATCGGGGGGAACCGGGGTTACAGGCCGAAGGTTATCATAGATTCAATTGGGAGACGAATGGCGTAAGCCATGTATATCAAACATGCCAGGCCGACGTCTATCTATCTATCTATCTATCTAGCTATCTATCTATCTTTCTATCTAGCTAGCTATCTATCTATCTAGCCAGCTAGCTATCTATCTATCTATCTACCTATCTATCTATCTATCTATCTCTCTCTCTCTATGTATTTATCTATCTATCTGTCTATCAAACCTGCCAGGGCGACGGCAAAGCTGAAACTGAATGGATTGAAACAAGTCTGTCTAACCTGCCAGGCCGACGTGAACCTGCAGCCTGCAGGCCGAAAATGCCAAGTAAAAAAAGGCAGGGCGACGAATGGCGTAAGCCATGTATATCAAACATGCCAGGCCGACGTCAAAACATGCCACCTGAAGGCCAAAAATGCACATCTAAAAAAACATACCAGGGAGACCTCCGCTATCTATCATGTATGTCAAACATGCCAGGGCGACGGCAAAGCTGAAACTGAATGGATTGAAACAAGTCTGTCTAACCTGCCAGGCCGACGTGAACCTGCAGCCTGCAGGCCAAAAATGCCAGGTAAAACACGGCAGGGAGACGAATGGCGTAAGCCAT